TTACCTTTTGTGCAGTAGATTTGCCTAAGGCAATCATTTTATTTCTTGATTGTTGCTTCCTTGAGGATTGATTGTGGATTCAAGCAAAGTAAAGTCTTTGACAACTTCAGTCATTCCTCCCTTTATTATGATGTTATTTATTGGTCCAGTTGTTAGGATTTTTGTTTTCATTACGTTGAAGCGCAATCCACATTGAAGGCTGTATTCTTTGATCTTTATCAGAAAGTATTTCAAGTCCTCTTTGCTTCCAGCAAACAAGGTTGTGTCATCTGTTTATCACAGATGTTAATGAGTCTTCCTCCAATCCTGGTGCCAGGTCTTCATATAATCCAGCTTCTCAATTACTTGCTCAGCATATGTATAGTGAAAGGATACAACCTTGATGCATACCTTTCTTGCTTTTAAACCATTCAGTATCTCCTTGTTCAGTATCTCTTGGTCTATTTACATGTTCCTCAATGTGAACAATTAAGTGTTCTGAAATTCCCATTCTCTACAATATTGTCCATAGTTTGTTATGATCCACACAATCTAATGCATTTGTATAGTCAATAAAGCACAAACAAACATCTTTCTGATTATTCTCTGCTTTCAGCCAAAGTTTATCAGATGTCAGCAATGATAGCTCTGGTACCATGTCCTCTTCTGAATTGGGTTTGAATTTCTGGCAGCGCCCTCTCCATGTACTGTTTTAATTGTTTTTTTAATTATCTTCAGCAAAATTTTACTTACATTAATGCTATTGTTCAATTTATGAATTTGTGGGGTTGCCTTTCTTTGTAATGAGCACAAATATAGATCTCTTCCAATTGGGTGGCCAGGTAGCTTTTTCCCAAGTTCCTTGGCATAGATGAGTGAGTGCCTCCAGCACAGAATCAGATTATTGAAACATTTCAGTTTGTATTCTATTCCTGGAGCCTGTTTTTCTCCAGCATCTTCAGTGCAGCTTTGACATCTTCTTTCATTACTATCAATTCTTGATCATATTCTGCCTCTTGAAATGGTTGAACGTCAACCATTTATTACTTTTGTCTTCTTTAAAAAAAAAAAAAATTATTTTAACTTTTTATTGTGAATTGAATAAAGGTTTACAGACAAGATCTGCTTTACCTTCAACAAATCCTACACTTTGTTTCATCTCAATGATTGCAATCCCCTCCATGCAACAACAGCTATCCTGCCTCCTCCTTATGGTTCCTATATGAATTCCACAAACCTTCCCATCTTTCTGAACTTTGTCCTTAGAAAACTGTTGACCTTTTGATTTTGAATGACTGACCATTCTACGGTTAGTATAACTTGCTAGTCTTGTTGGTCCCCTCTATAAATTTACCTACTGCTTGTCTGAAAATTGGGCCATGGGGTTAGTCCCTTTCTAGACCTTGTTTTGGCTGATGATATTGAGCCTCATCATCTCTTCCAACAGATGTAGTTAATTTGATTCCTGTAGATTCCATCTGATGAGGTACAGGTTCATAATTGCCATTTATGTTGCTGAAATAAGTCATTGATCTTGTGATTCTATTATTTCTATCACCAAGGACCTTTTACAAATACTGATCATTTCTCTTTGTTTCCAACTTTTCACATTCCAATCACCAGTAATTATTAATACATCTTGATTACATATTTGATCAATTTCAGACTGCTGAAGTTTATAGAATTCTTCAATTTCTTCATCTTTGGAGTTAGTGGTTGGTGTGTAAATTTGAATAATAGTAGTATTAACTGGTCTTCCTTGTTTGCATATTACCCTATCACAGACATCATTATACTTAGAGACAGATTTTTAAATGCTCTTTTTGATGATAAATGTGATGCCATTCCTCTTCAGTTGTTTTCATTCCTAGTATAGTTGTTGTTGTTGTTAGGTGCCATCGAGTTGGTACCGACTCACAGCAATCCTATGAACAACAGAACGAAACACTGCCCAATCCTGGGCCAACCTCACAATTGTTGCCATGCTTGAGCCAATTGATGCTGCACTTAGCCAGTCCTTCTTGCTGGGGGTCTTCCTCTTTTTCTCTGACCCTCCACCTTACCGAACATGATATCCTTCTCCAGTGACTGGTCCCTCATGAGAACATGTCCAAAGTATGAGAGATGAAGTTTGGCCATCCTGGCTTCCAAGGAGCACTCTGACTGCACTTCTTCCAACACAGATCTGTTGGTTCTTTTGGCAGCCCATGGCACTTTGAATATTCTCCTTCAACACCATAATTCAAAGGCATCAATTCTTCTACAATCTTCCTTATGTCCAGCTTTCACATGCATATGAAGTTATTGAAAATACCATGGCTTGGGTCAGGTACACCTTAGTCCTCAAGCTGACATCTTTGCTCTTCAACACTTTAAAAGGGTCTTGTGCAGCAGATTTGCCTAATGCAATACGTCATTTGATTTCTTGGCTGCTGCTTCCATTAGTGTTGATAGTTGATCCAAGAAGAATGAAGTCCTTGACAACTTCAATCTTTTCTCCATTGATAAGAATATGATTGTCCAATTCAAAATGGTCAATACCCGTTTCCTAGTTGACACAGAAAGCATAGCAACCAAAGAAAATTTCCTTATTATGAAAAGATTTTCAAGCCACATTCCATATAATGATGAGCTTTGGAGTCACAGATTCAACTTCAGCCTTACTGCTTGCTAGTGATACAGGCTGACTAATAGAAGTTTCCTCACTCTGATTCTCAGTTCTTTGTATGCAACGGGAGTAATAATTACTATCTCCCAGGGTCATTATAAGGAATAGATGAAGGTAATATGCTTAATACAGCACCTAGGACATGATATCAAACCGATCAGAGCCTACACTTCTGTCTACATAAAGATCACCTGGGGATATTGGTGACATGCAGATTCTGATTTCAGTATACCTGAGGTGAAAATACAAATTTTCAACAGTGGGTTAAATTGGCATGAACTGGTTTGACATTGTGATTAATGTATTCTCAAAATGTATTTTTCAAACCTGCATGCACAGTAGATTCGCCTGTTCACATTTCAAATGATTGATATTCCTGGGCTCTACTCCTAACTTTTTAAGTCAAAATTTCTGGGAATAGGGCCTGAGAATTTGTATTTGAAATGAACTTTCCAGTGATTATTAAGTAGTCACTCTAGCATAGTCTTTCTTTGGGGACTAATGCCTTATTGGAGTCCTGGTATGGTGCTTTTGGATAAGCACTAGACTGCTAACTGCATAGTCGGTGGTTCAAACCTACTAGCTGATCCTTAGAAATTCTATAGAGGGTCTCTAGAGCCAGAATCAACTCTACAGCACTAACAATATGCCATTTATTTTATATTCATGTATTTTCTTTAACATGGAAGTATCAGATATGTGATAATACTGTGGTATTTAATTAAATTTGAGTGATTTATCATTTAAAATTTAAGTCTCTGTTGTCCTAAATTAAAAAGAAATGTTATGTTAGTTTTAGACTGTCACTGACACATTAACATATCTGTTCAATTAGATTTTGAATAGTATTCAACAGAAGATAGATTTGAGAAAAATATATGCACCAATATTTGAAGTACATTTACGTTTGAGAATTCCTGCTGAGAGTTTTTCTCCAGAAAATTCTGAGGAAAACATTGGTGAAGCTGACAGGTGCTCTGGGAAATCCATCATGTGTTTTGAAGATGAAATGTCAGATGATTATAGTGAAGAACTGCCCACAAAAGTTGAGAAAAAAAGAAAATTTAGTTACAACCTTGAAGGACGTCTTTTAGGTAAGATGAATAAGACTATTAAGAACAGAGAGAAATAGCTTAACAGCCAGAAAAATAACAAATCAGAGGAAGTTTTAGTAGTTTGAGTATTATCAACTTATAGGTATACAAAGATTGGTAGGGCAATATACAAAAAGAGGGAGGTGGCAGAAGCTTAATGAAAACAGGTGAAGACACAGGGAGGTATGCAAGAGCTAAAAGGGACAGAGGTGATATATACACAACCTTGGAATAATGGTGCACTGTGCATAGATGCATGAACTGAGACATAGTCTGAATGGGTAATGGAGAAGTAGGATAAAATATATACTTATATATCCCACAAATATATGAGTTTGAAAGAGGATATTAGTACATGAGTATTTACCTTTCCTGAAAATGTAACTTTAAATGTGGTGGAGCATGGTGGTGGTCGTTACATGCCATGGAGTCAGTTCTAACACACAGTGACCCTGTGTAGGGTTTCCAAGGCTGTAAATCTTTATGGGAGCAAAAAGCTCCCGTGGAACTGCCAGTAGTTTCAAACTGCTGTCTGTAAGATTAGCAGCCCGACTCAAAACCACTTTGCTACCAGAGCTCCTTATGGTATAGTATACAGCAGGCTAAATAATGAAAACTTTACAGATATAATCAAATATCTTAAGGCCATGAGTTTATGGACCTGGGGGCACAGGACCATAGTCTCAGGGGACATGGTCAATTAGCATAACAGTCCACAAAGACAATGTTCTACATCCTGTTTGAGTAGCATCCAGGATCTTGAAAGCCCATAATCATAGCTGTCTGTGGTGCATCTATTGGTCTCTTCATGTGCAGAAGTAAGAAAAATGATAAGAATTGAAGAGACTCGGAATCAATCAGCCCAATAGACTAACAAAAAATGTGAACACCAATCTTCACAACTCTGAGACCAGAAGAACTAGATGACGTCTGGCTACTACTACCAACTGCCTGGCTAGCGATCACATTAGAGGGTCCTGAATAGAGTGGGTGAAAATGTGGAACAAAACTCAGAATTAGCTAGTTAAAAAAAAACAACAAAAAAACAGGTTTACTGATCAGAAAGAAACAGGAGGAACCTGAGACTATGACCCTCAACCACCCTCATGTTTGGAATGGAACGCATCCTCACAGTCTAATTTTTTTCACCCAATAAGTGGATAGGTTTATAGGGGAGATAACAGAACTAGTAAGGTATGTTCAGCATGGAACAGTCAATCATTCCAAATCAAAAGGGCAACATTTTGCTAAGGACAAATTTGAGAAGCGATAGGAAGGTGGGTGAAATGGAAATAAGAACGACAGGGAGGAAGCAGGATGATTTGTTGCATGGAGGAAAATGTAATCATTGAGATGAAACAAATGTATGATTTGTTGAATGTAAAGCTGATGATCTTATCTGTAAACCTTCACTGAATTCACAATTATAAGTTTAAAAATTTTTTGAATAATGCTCAAAGTGAGCATAACCTACTCATAAGTTTTCATTTGTGATACATATAAGTTAATAACAGCATATACATTTTTGTTTCAACCCACATACAATTTCACACTGAGTAGGCATAGGGACATCCTTCATCATGATGCTTGTTAGAAATGCAGACTCTGGGAATCCACCTGAGGTATCCTTAATCAGAATCTCAGAGTAGGGTTTACTACTTGAATATTGCCTTTCCAGTTCATTCTTATGATATTTGGAAAGGACTGGATTATATAAATTTATCATTTTGCTGATTTAAATATCAATCAGTTTTTATTCTCTCTTTCTTTCAATGGATTCTAATAGAAATGGAAATAGCAACTGAGTCTGAGAATAAATGCACATATGAAGAGTAAGTATTAGACATTTGTGAAATTACAATTAATTGTATTTTATGTTAATTACTACAATAATTTGAATTTACGCTTTTATTGTTTTCTCTCAGACTTTCAGAATTCCCTACAAATCTCTTTATAGTTCCCAACAGATTGGAATTTTCAATAAAAATTCAAAATATGGTGACTAATATTGAAAAATGTATAAGTAAGTATTTTTAAAGTTTATATGTATTGTCTTATCTTGATAACTTGTCATAATTTCAGACATCTGATACTTTGCCCATGAATATGATAGATGAATATATTTATAGTTTACTTTGTTGTTGTTAAGTGCCATCAAGTCAGTTCAAACTCATAGTGAACCTGTATAGGGTTTCCAAGGAGCAACTGGTGAGCTTGAACCACCAACCTTGCAGTTCAAACCAATTTTGCAGTCCAGCGCATTAGCCCGAGTGCGACACTAGGACTCTAGGAGATCATAAATTAATACTTGGGATCAAACAACATGCATTTGGAATTATTTGAGTGAATTATACAGATAACCATAGAATGCATTAAATACAGAAATTAAAATAGCACAAGACTTGGATTTTTTCAGTAATACACTACAATATTTTATTGAACTATGCAGTAAATCAATTTGACATCAGTGGTTTGAACCCTGCAAATAAACAATATCTTTTGTACTAACATAACAAAGATACTATTTCTCTCTTAAAAAGACTTTTAATATTTTTTCAAGTTGTGTGTCCACAATCTGAAAGTACATGGTAACAAAAAAATGACCTCCACAATGCATACTTTTCCCGCAAGCTATGCATTTAGAAGATATATAACACTATATTCCCTAGTGCCTTATATTTTGCATCCTTTTCCAGTTATGTAACCATGGTTCACTGAATTTATAGTTTTCCATCCAGACTTTACTGGTTTCCAATGCATTATTTGATTTATTTTTGCAAACCCAAAAATTCCAGTTGTTTTTTCTTTTGGTTTTGTAATTATCACCAACAATTAAGTTTCTTCTTTCTCAGAAACTGTAATCAATATGCCCTTAGAAATTTCAAATTACTTGTATTTCCTATCATTATAATGAAAAATGCATTAAAAATATGGGTTTATTTTTTTAAAAATCAAGATCCACCATAGTTTTGTAATTCTTGACGTTAGTCCATTTGAAACAGTTAAATAGGAGTTTCTTGCTAAGTACAATCCAGAGAGATTTATATCTTGCACACTGTAGACCTAAGCTCTTTCACAACAACTGTAGTCTCTTATTAGAATGACTCTTCCTCCCATGCCCTCACATTTTACTCAGTAATCCATAGATTGGTTCCATTGTCTTCTAACTTTCAATATTGCAGATGAGGAGTTTGATGCTACTCTGACTTTCTTTCCTTTGTAAATCTTTCTAAATCATTGGTGATTTCTTTACATAAATAACTAGTTATTTCTGTCCAATGAGTTATCATTTGGAATTAGAAACATGACTACAATAAAGCTAAATAAGCATTGCTCTTTCTTAAAATTCAATGAAGTTTTTCAATATGAAGAACTAAGTCAGTCTCTCCATTTATTCTTTACTCTCTCCCTCTGGAATGTTTGTTGTTCATCCTTGGACTCTCTGGGTCTGAGCATCTCATTATTTTCATATCTTTTGTTGCTGTTGTTATGAAATGCTTCTACCATTCAGATATTTAAATGCTTTTATTATGAGATAATTTGAAGCTTACAGAAGCGTTGCAAAGTATAGTACCGAGGTACCATATAGTTCCCATGCTTTCTCTATCCATAGTACCATTATTTAAACTAAGAAATTAGCATGAACACAATACTACTGATAAAACTAGACACTTTACTTGGATTTTCCCAGTTGTTTCACTAATGCCAGGACCCAACATTGCATTTAGTGGCCACAGCTCCTAAGTCATCTCTATCTTTCTTTGTCTTGAGATTTTGGAAGAGTACTTATTAGTTACTTTATAGATTGCCTCTTAATTTTGCTTTGTCTGAATTCATTTCATGATGCATTTGAGGTCAAACATTTTAAAGGAGAATATCACAGCAGTTGTGTGCTCTTTTCAGTGCATCATATTAGGTGGTACATGATGTTAACATGTCTTCTTATTGGTGACGCTATGCTTCATCTTTTGGTTAAAGTTGTGTCTTTCAGGTTCGTCAGTTATATAGTTACTGTACTTTCTAATTTATAAAGTGACTATAAATATATGAAATTTTACTATATTATAATTAATAAATATTTGGGAAAAACACTTTGATATTATGCAAATATCATAAGACCCCTCAAAATTTTACCCACTAATTTTAGCATTCATTAGTAAGTCTTGTCATTACTGTTGTATTCCATTTCTCTCACTCCTTATGTTGTTGTTGTTAAGTGCTGTTGAGTTGATTCCGACTCATAGCAATCCTGTATAAGGTTTCTGAGGAGCTATTGGTGAGTTTGAACCACCAAACTTGTGGTTCAAACTGACCTTGCAGTCCAGCGCTTTATCCCACAACACCACACCAGGATGCTCTCCTTATACATTTACTAAATAAGGAATACTTGGCCCTTCTTCTCCATTTATTTATTTCTTGTTATTTAAATCAATATGGACTAGCTATATACAAGAGTAAGTAAAGTATTGCTACTAGAGTTCCAGGTCATACGTGCTCTGGTTTATTCCAGATAAGACAAGGTTAAACATGTCTCTGTGATCAGTATGGCTGCAAAGTTATCTTAGTAATACACTTGTCTGAGTCTCATGAGAGTGCCTTAAAAAAACTACAAAAACCCACACTAACAACAGTCAATTAAAACAGTGGTTTTCAAGGAAAACTGCTGGGCCATTAAATTCAATGCAGGGAAGTCAGCTCAAAAGAGTATTGTTGTTGACAGGTGCCATGCATTTAGTTCCAATTCATAGTGACCCAATGCACAACAGAACAAAACACTGCCCTGTCCTGTCGCATCCTCACAATTGTTATATTTGAGCTCATTTTTGCTGCCACAGCATTAATCCATCCAGTTGGGGTGGGGGCGGTCTTCCTTTTTATTTTTGCTGACTCTCCACTTTATCATATCTTTCTCTAGGGACTGGTCCCTTCTAATAACATGTCCAAAGTAAAAGAGATCAAATCTTGCCATCATCACTTCTAAAGAACATTCTGGCTGTACCTCTAACAAGACAGATTTATTCATTCTCTGGCAGTCCGTGGTACTCTCAATATTCTTCACCAGTGCCATAATTCAAATGCATCAATTATTATGTACTCTTCCTTATTCACTAGTGAACTTTCACATGCATATGAAGCAATTGAAAATACCATGGCTTAGGTCAGGCACACCTTTGTCCTCAAACTGATGCCTTTGCTCTTGAATACTTTAGAGTGGTTTTGTGCAGTGTGTAATTTGATTTCTTACCTGCTATTTCCCTGAATGTTAATTGCAGATCCAAGCAAAATGAAGTCGTTGGCAACTTCAATCTTTTCTCCATTTATCGTGATGTCATTTATTGGTCCAGTTGTGAGGATTTTGGTTTTCTTTACATTGAGGGGCAATCCATACTTAAAACTATAGTCTTTGATCTTCATCAGTAAATATTTCAAGTCCTTTTCATTTCCAGCAAGCAAGATTGCATCATATGCAGATCATGGGTTGTTAATGAGTCTTCCTCTAATCCTGATGCCACATTCTTCTTCAGTAATCCCGTTTCTCAGATTATTTGCTCAGCATTCAGATTGAATAAATATGGTGGCAGGATACACACCTGACACACACCTTTCCTGCTTTTAAGTCATTCACTGTCTTCTTATTCTGTTCAAATGACTGCCTCTTTATCGATGTACATGTTCTTCAATGAGCACAATTAAGTGTTCTGAGATTTCCACTCTTCACAATCTTATCCATAGTTTGTTATGATCCATACAGTCCAGTGGGCTTTGCATAGTCAATAGAACACAAGTAAACAGCTCTCTGGTATTCTCTGCTTTTCAGCAATGATATCCTTCATTCCATGTCTTCTGAATCCAGGTTAAATTTTTGACAGCTCCCTGTAAATGTACTGCTGCAATCGTTTTTAATTATCTTCATCAAAATTTTATTTGCTTGTGATATTAATAATATTGTTATATGATTTCTGCATTCTGTTGTGTCACCTTTATTTGAAATGGGCACAAATATGGATCTCTTCCAATAGGTTGGAAAATACCTCCAGTATTATATCAGTTTGCTGAAACATTTAAATTTGTATTCTATCCATTCCTGGAGCTTTGTTTTTTTGCCAATGCCTTCAGTGCTGCTTGGACTCCTTCCTTCAATACCATCTTTTCTTGATCATATAATATCTCTTGAAATTATTGAGCACTGACCAATAGTTTTTGGTCTAGTGACTCTGTGTATTCCTTCCATCTTCTTTTGATGCTTTTAGCATCATTCAATATTTTGCCCATAGAATCCTTTAATATTATAACCTGAGACTTGTTTTTTTCTTCAGTTCTTTCAGCTTTAAGAAATGCTGAGTATGTTCTTCCTTTTGGTTTTCAAACCCCAGGTCTTTGCACATTTCATTATAATATTTGGCTTTGTCTTCCAGAGCTGTCCTTTGACATTTTCTGTTCAGCTCATTTATTTCATCATTTCCTCCAGTTGCTTTAGCTTTTCAATACTGAAGACCAAGTTTCAGTCTCTTCTGCATTCCATTTTATAGTCTTTTCTCTTTTTTTCTGTCTTTTAAATGACTTTTTGCCTTTTCCGTGTGTGATGTTCTTGATGTATCCCACAACTCTTGTGATCTTCCATCATTAGTGTGTCAAATCCGTTTTTGAGATGGTCTCTAAGATCAGGTAGGATCTATTTAATGTCATATTTTGGCTTTTGTGGATTTGTTTTAATTTTCTTCATCATCAACTGAAGTTGCATATGAGCAATTGATACACTGTTAATTCTGCCCGTGACCTTGTTTTGACTAATGATATTGAGTTTTTTCATAATTTCTTCCCGCAGATGTGGTCAGCTTGATTCCTTTGTGTCCCATCCGGTGAGATCCAGGTATATAGTCACCTTTTATATTGTTTAATAAAGGTATTTTCAGTGATTAAGTCACTGGTCTTGTAAATTTTGATCATGCTGTGTCCAGCATCACTCTTATCACCAAGATCACATTTTCCTACTACAGATCCTTACTCTTTGTTTCCAGATCACCAGTATTTATTCTTACTCTTTTGTATTCTAATCACCAGTAATTATCAATGCATTATGATTGCATATTTAATCAATTTGAAATGGAAGAAGCTGGTAAAATTCTTCAATTTCTTCATCATTAGCTTTAGTGGATCTTGTGTGAATTTGAAAAATAGTATTATCAACTGGTCTTGTTGTTGTTGTGTTGTTAACTGCCGCTGAGTCAATTCTGACCCATAGTGACCCTGTATAAGGTTTCCAAAGAGTGACTGGTGAGCTTGAACCTCCGACTGTGCAGTTCAAACGGCTTTGCAATCTGGCGCATTAACCCACAGTGCCACATCAGGACTCCAGCTGGTCTTGTAGATGTATGTGTATTATCCTATCACAGACAGCATTTTTCTTCAAGATAGATCTTGAAATATTTTTCAGTTTGGCTTGCACCTCATTGTAAAGAAAACAAAAATCCTCACAACTGGGCCAATAAATACTATCAAAATAAATGAAGAAAAGATTGAAGTTGTTAAAGACTTCACTTTGCTTGTATCCAGCATCAACACTCATGGAAGCAGCAGTCAAGAAATCAAATGATGTATCACATTAAGCAAATCTGCAAAAGACCTATTTAAAGTGTATCAGAGCCAAAATGTCAGTTTGATGGTTAAAGTGTTCCTGACCCAGGCCATATTTTCAGTAGCCTCATCTGCATGTGAAAGTTGGACAATGAATAAAGAAGACTGTAGAAGAATTGATGCATTTGAGTTATGGTATTGGAGAATAATATTAAAGGTACCATGGACTGCTAGGGGAAAAAAAAAATCTGTGTTGGAAGAAGTACAACTTAGAAGTCAAGATGGGAAGACTTTGTTTCTCATACTTTGGATATATTATCAGAAGGGACCAATCCCTGGAGAAGGATATCATGTTTGGTAAAGTGGAAGGACAAAGAAAAAGAGGGAGACCCCCAACAAGGTAGATAGGCACAGTGGCATCAGTGATGGACTCAAATGTATCAGCAATTGTGAGGATGTTCTAGGACTGGATGGTATTTTGTTTTGTTGTAGATAGGGTGGCTGTGAGTCAGAACTGACTCAATGGCAGAACTTAACAACAATTGTTATAGATATAGTAAACCCTTATCAGCTCTATGGCTTTCAAATATTTTCTGTCATTCTGTAGATTGCTTTCTCACTTTGTTGATGAAGTCTTTTGATGTATAGAAGTTTTTAATTTTGATAAAGTCTAATTTATCTACTTTTTTGTTGTTTCTCATGCTTTTGGTGTCATATCTGAATCCATTATCAAAAACAAGGTCTTGAAGTCTTGCCTCTATGTTTTCTTTGTGAAGTTTCATGATTGTAAGTCTTATGTTTAAGTCACTGATCCATTCTGAGTTCAGTTTTAGTGGTACAACTTCATTCTTTTGCGTATTGGGATCCAGTTGTTCCAGTATCACTTATTCATGACATTATCTTTTCCCCTTTGATTGGACCTCTCACCTGTCAATTGCTTATATGTACATTTCATTTCTGGACTCACAGTCTATTCTAATGATCTATTTATCTATCCTTATACTGGTACCATACTATTTTGATTACTATTGCTTTGTAGTATATTTTGAAATAAAGAAATATGAATTCTTTTACTTTGTTCTTTTTAAAGATTGTTTTGGCTACTCAAAGCCTCATTCAATTCCATAGGAATTTAAGCATTAGCTTTTGTGCAAAAAAAGACTGATGAAATTTTGATAAGGATTGCATTAAATCCTTATCACTTTGGGAGGTATTAACATTTTAAAAGTATTAAGTCTTTCAGTCCAAGAACGCTGAATGCCTTTCCATTAATTTAGGTCTTTTTAAATTTCTTTCAGTAATTTTAATTTTCTGTTTATAAGTCTTTCATCTCCTTTGATAAATTTAGACACTACACCTATCTTTAAATTCCATCTATCAGTATAGAGTACTAGCTAGTCTTCAGAATAACTCAGGTTCATTTTTCAATAGTTCTAGATGTCATGGGTATTTATAGTGTTTGCAGTAGTACTACTGAAAATATTAATTTTTTAATTATGTATTCTAGCCACAATTATTCCTCTTTGCCAAGATCCCCGTCTGTCTGTTTTTATTGATTTGGCTTCAATTGTGGATTTACCTAATAAGACAGAAAATGTAAGAGGAAGTAAGAAGAGCAAATGGCCAGATTGTCAGATCCTTTTTGAAACAGACCCTGTCTACCAAAATAAAGTAAGCTTTACAAGTTTATTTCAGGGAATATTTGGTTTAAGAAGCAAGAATCCATGGAAATTCATCTTTGATGAGAGGGATTTTTTTAAAAGATTAGAATATCTTGAGTCATGCCAACTGGAAAACTATTACCAGCTTATCTTCCCATATCTTCTCCATGATCTCTTATCTAAACTCATCTCTGTGTGTCTTTTCTAATGTCTGCTTTGCAAATGAGCTTTCTCTTCTGTGGTTCATAATATTGACTTTTTAATACATTTGTTTGCCATGGCTCCAACTCTTTCCATTGTCATGTACCTGGGTAATTTTTCCAAATACACAACAAAATATAATTGACTTAACTTGCACTAGTATTCTACCTATCCAGATTAGTCTCCCTGCAACTTGGGAATGCAGTGAGGTCCCATAATATACAGAGCTGCCATTTTTAGAGCTATGCATAGAGAATATATGTTCTAAAGGACAGTGGTAAGCAAGGAAATAAATGAATTGGTATTTCCAATTGTTGTTGTGTTCCATCAAGTTGGTTCTGGCTGATAGTGACCCTGTATAGGGTTTCCAAGGAGTGGCTGGTGAGCTTGCACCACTCTTGAGATTTAAACCAACCTTGCTGGTGAGCTTGAACCACTGATATTGCAGTTCATTCCAACCTTGAAATCCAGCACATTAGCCAACAACACCACAACAGGAGTCTACTATATGGTTCAAAACACTATGTTAATTATAAAGTTAAATAGTTTAGTAAATCATTACATAAAAACTAAATAGGAAAATTTCACATCAATTTTTTTTGAAGTTTTCTTTTTTCAACATTGCTGCTGTTGTTGTATTCTGTAAAGTTGTTTAAGACTCATAGTGACCCTGTCTTCATAGGGTTTCCAAGAGCAGATGGTGGGTTTGAACTGCTGCCCTCGCAGTTACCTGTCATTCTTACACATTTAATAGAGGTTCTTAACAAAATGAAGTTCATGTAATATAATCATTTATTTCAAAATTATTAACTATTAGACCATACTGTCTTAATTTTGAAAGTAAAAATACAGTCTTAAGTTTTCATCCTTTTTATTTACAGATTGTGAGTCTCCTAACTATTATTGGGAATTCGATGGGACTAGTTAATACTTACAGCTACAAATTTCTAAAGTATTGTACCATAGTAGAAAAAGCCAAAATCTTGAGTATGAAAATGTCATCTATGAAAGGAGAATTAACTTCAACACAGTTTAAAAATATACTAGATAAATTCAGAAAATACCTTATATATATCGTGAATATGACCGTTGAAAAACGCATTGGTATTTTCAAAGTTATGAGTATTGATTATCAGTCAGAATGCTTACCATATGTTGATGATGTCATAAATAAGTGCCACACATGCTTGAGACTTATAATACAACAAAAGAATGAAAGTCTATTGGAAGTAAGTGTTTTGAATTTTTCTATTTGCATGAGCTTATTATATTTTTAAATATATATACTTAGAAAATATATGTGTATCTTGATCAAATATCACTCCCTCAAAGAAACCTTCTTTGACCACTCCCTTTAAAATTGTACCCTATGTCACTCCCTTCTCTTCTTTCCCTTGCTTTATCTTTATAACAGGTATCACTACCTAACATGGTATATGTATTTTTGTTTGTTGATCATCTCCTTTGCTAGAATGTAAGCTCCAACTAGAATGTATATTATGGAGTGTCTGAGCTAAGTCTTTTAGAACCAATACATATTAGAGTTTCACTGCGGTTTATGGTTGACTTCTTTTTTAAGAAGGCTTCTGGATGGGCTGGCCACTGTGGTTTGGAACCTCTACATAGATTTCAGACCTGAGAAAATATAGTAGCACTCAAAATAACCTACCAATTAATTACTTATTTCTACCTATCACCCATGTGTGGAGCTGTGGGTTAAGCACTGGACTGCTAACAAGAAGGTCTGCTCTTCACACCCACCAGCAACTCCTCAGAAATCCTTTAAAAGGTTGCTGTGAGTCAGAACAGACATGAAGGCACTTAACAGCAACAACAGTATATTGTTGTAGTTGTTGGTATTAAATTGCTCTTGTTAAGTGCTATCAAGTCAGTTCTGACTCATAATGACCCTGTGTAGGGTTTCCAAGGAGCAGCTGGTGGATTTGAACTTCTGACCTTGTGATTTGAAGTCCAATGCTGATCCACCACCAGGAGTCCTGTTATGAAATAGGTCCCTGGAATAGAGTAGTGGAAAGGATAGGCTCATTCTTGCATTCATAGAGTCCAGCATAAGATACATATTCAACCAAGCAGTTCTACTAAAATGCTCTGACATGATAAGTAGAAGTTTCTGTTATAATATATAACAGAAGTACCTATCTTATGCCAGGCAAGGTCATGTACAACTTGCTCTATGAAGTTCTAACACCTAAAGGAAGAGTAGCTGGGTAGTTGGGATTAGTGTGCAGGCAATGGGAAGATAATCTGTAGGTCAGGCAGCACGCAATTTGTTCATGGCATTGCAGGAACTGGCAAATTAAATCTCTGTAGTCAGAAAGGCTGAAAGCTTCTCATGCTCCAAGAACTGTAGGCCAGACAACAATGAGACAAACTCAGGATCAAAAAAGATATTTTCTTAAATCCCAGACATCCATTTATATCATGGCTGTAGGCCACACCCCCAAGAAAACTCCTCTTCCAACTGATGACTGGCTGCTCACATCAGGTCACAAAAGGGGATGTGATTACATAATGTCTGCCAAGCCACTAAGAATCATAGCTTAGCCAAGTTGACATGGAACATTAACCATCACAGCTACTATACCTTCAGCCATCATCTCCTCATCCCAGGAGAGAAGAAAGCAACACAGAAGAGAATCTCTCAACTCTATTTTTATTAATATTTCCCAGAAGTACCCCACACTTTGCTTATATTATATTTTCCAGAACTGGTTATGTAGTCTTAACTGGTTACATGACATCTCAAATAAATTCAGTTTTTATTTTAAGGAAATGAAAGTTAGGTTAGGTAGCAAGCAGATACTGTCACATCAAGAAATGGGAACAGAAAGAGCTAAGCACATCAGAACTACTTCATTTCATTTCAGTGGTAGAATATTCTGTGACAAATGATTGTTGTTGTTATTAAGTGTTGTCAAGTCAGTTCTCACCCTAGCGATCCTGTATAGAGTTTTCAAGGAGCAACTGGTGAGCTTCAACCACAACCTTGCAGTTCAAACTGACTTTGCAGTCCAGTGCATTAACCTACAGTGCCACACCAGGACTTCATTACAAGGGACTTGTTGTTATGTGCCATGGAGTCAGTTCGAACTCATAGTGACCCTGTACAGGGTTTCTGTGACTGCAAATCTTTACAGGAGCAGAAAGCCTCATCTTTCTATCGCCAGACAGCTGGTAGTTTTGAACTGCTGACCGTGAGATTAGCAGCCTGATTTGTAACCACTATGCAAGAGGTAAAACTAAAGAATTTGGTGGAGGACCTTATAAGCTATGTCAGGGACTTTTAACCGTTACAACTAAGACTATGGGAATCATTGCAGAGTTTTAAGTAGGGAAATGTCATGATGGAATTTGAATTTTTGTAAGGACCACTGACACTGCAATGTGAAAACTAGATAGCAGTGGTATAAGTGGGAGGAAAGCTGCTTCTGACATCTAGGGAGGGACAGGTAAAGATAACTTGAACTAGAATAGTAACAATCTGGAGTCTGAGAAGCATATAGATCTGGACTATAGTTAGGATGGGGAATGAACAGGATTGAGTGAATGAATGTGAAAAATATGAAAAAGACAGGCGTTAACCATGTTGTCAAGTTGTGGTTAGACAACAATACATTGGAAAGAGCACAGTACCTGTTGAATAAACAAAATGCTGTATATACATTATCTTTAGCCAAGAGTAATCCAAGAACCAAAGCAAACAAACAAAAAAATCCTGTCAAATTGATTTTTGCATGATGTTCCAATTCCTGGCAAATCTATGTGTTACAGAATAAAGCAGATTGCCAGACCTTTCATTTATGGCACTGCTGAGTGGATGTACTGCCATCCTTTGGCTAGTAGTCAAGCACTTGTACTACCCAGGTACCTAACAATCCTATATTATACAAAATATTGTTATATTTAGAATTACATCCCCAATAATTATCAGAAAATCCAACAAAAATAAGTTAGTAAATAAGAGGTTCTCAAGGTAAAAGAAGTCTGTGTTTTGGTAACTCAGAACTGGTACAATGGCTGTGATGCCATCAGGGAACCAGGCTCCTCCATTCTTTCTGTTCTGTTCTCCTTGATAATTATTGCTGTCTCTAGGCACTGTGCTTACACTAGGCAGGAACAATGAAAGAACAATGTGGTAAATTTCTCTTTACTTTTCATTGCTACAACTGGGTCATAGTGTCACCTCCAGGTATAAAGGACCTGGCTGTGATAGCAAGTTTTCAGCTTTTCAGTTTCTCTAATAGAAGAAGGCAAGCAAGAAATGGAATTAGTTGGGTTTTTAATCAATCAACTTACACTATCTTCCTCAGTTTACCCCTCTGGTGAATAATACCCTTTCTCCTGTATGTTGAATTTGAGGGGCAATATCACTCTTATCAGGCTGAGTACAGAACAAACTGAAAAATATACAATAAGGTTAAGGCAAAAGAAGATTTTAAGAAATTACTAATAAAGTGAGCCCAGGATTATATGGCTTATATTTGCTTGAAATTAAACCTCCTGAAATTGAAGCCCAGAATTAGAATTATGTAACCCACTGTGTGTTGATGTGATTCTGGAAGCTATGCCATGGGTATTTTATATACCAGCAAAGTCACCCACAGTGGACAGGTTTCAGATGAGCTTCAGATGAAGACACACTAGGAAAAATGAGAGATGGACTACATCCGAATATTAAGTCACTGAAAACCTTATGAATAGCAGTGGAACAATGTCAACATCAAAATTTTGAACATTGAAACATGATGAAGAGTTCCAGAATATTGTCAGATACAGTGCCAGAAGATGAGTCCCTCAGGTTGGAAGGCACTTAAGATACAACTGGGGAAGAGCTGCCTCCTCGAAGTAGAATTGACAATAATTACGTGAATGGAGTGAAGCTTTCAGAACCTTCATTTGCTAATGGGGCACAAATAAAAATGAAAAGAAATAACTGTAAACATCCATTAATAGATCATGGAATGTAGAAGTATGAATCTCATAAAACTGGAAATCACCAAAAATGAAATGGAATGCATAAACACTGATATCCTAGACATTAGTGAGCTGAAATGGACTGGTATTGGCCATTTTGAATCTGACAGTCACATGATTTACTATGCCAGGAATGACAAATTGAAGATAAATGGTGGCACATTCATAATCAAAAAGAACAATTTAAGATGTATCTTAAAGTATAATACTGTCTGTGATAGGGTAATATCCATATGTCTTCAAAGAAGAGCAAGAATCTCAAGGTCAGCAGTTAAAAATTACCAGTGGTTCCACAGGGGAAAGATGAGACTTTCTGCTCTTATAAAGACTTACAGCCTTGGAAACCCTATACAGGGTCACTATGAATCAGAACTGATTCCACAGTACAAAACCACCACCTCCACCCATAAGGAAGACCAGTTAATGCAAATATTATTCAATTTTATGTACCAGCCACTAAGCCAATTATAATGAAATTGAATAAGTCTACTAACCTATGCTTTATTGACTATGCGAAGTCTTTCGATTGTGTGGATCATGACAAGCTATGGACAACATTGAGAAGTATGAGTATTCCAGAAC